TATATATATACATATATATATATTATGTATATGTATATGTATACGTATACAAATATGTATATGTATATGTATATGTATATGTATTTGTATATAGATCTATATCTGTATCTATACATATACATATATACATATTTATATATATATGTATATGTATATGTATATGTATATATTGTGATTTTATAATTATGAACCTAAGCCGTAGACTGCACTGGATTACTTTCTTTATTCAAAGAATGATAAGACAGAAGGTCTGCTGGCGCTACGGAAAATTGTTCACCATGTTTTATGGTTTGACACTTCCCGAGGTCTCAAAGTAATGAGACCACGCGGCCAGTCCTGTCAACCCTAAACCCTAGATTCTAATTTCTATGATAGGTACGGCCCCAGGCCGGATTAAACGCCCTCCTGGCTGGTGGACCTGGTCCAAGCACCGGTCCAACAGTCAGGCTTCCGAACTGCAGCGCCCGGACTGCCCTTTACGCGCCCTAGCTCTCCCCGCCACGCACCAATATACGCACAGGCTGCCAAGCGCCCTACGCCAGCTCCCACGCTGGAGGCATGCCCACCGGCAACCGCACCTGTCTCAACCGCAGCAACCACCGCCTAACAGCAATACCAGCGTGGACCCGGGCCTTGCGCCTCAGGCCTCTTCAATACCGTGCCTGGTCGACCGGGCCTGTTGCGCCCCAGGCCTCTCCAATACCGTGCTTGGTCGACCAGACCTGTTGCGCCCCAGGCCTCTCCAATACCGTGCCTGGTCGACCAGGCCTGTATCTTGCACTCGCGCCCTAAAGTTCCCAGAGTTAGCAAACGCTAATACCTGGGCTATCAGCGCCAGCCTAGGTCTCCGGCACACCATCCCACACCACGTGAAGGAGCTCCTTCGCATCATCCGTGAGCTCATACTGAACATCCCTGTCCAGCTCCCCAAATACACGCTCTAACATGTTGGACGCTGATGACACCTGTGTCTTCCAGTACTTCCCAGAGAGACGGTATACACATATGGTGAAGCGCTGAACGCCTCTTATCTATGGTAGCCTGCCTAAACGGAGACGCAGGAACAACTAGTTCTCATACGCCCCACTAAACGTCATAACCGTTCGCTGGGCCAGCTCCGGATAGACCGGGTCATAATACTGACGAACTGCGTACGGTGACCCATCAAACGCTTGGGTCCAAACTGGAGCGTATACATAACCGGGCTGTCTTTGAAAACCACCTTAGCTGGCCCGTTCCATAGCTGAGCAGACTGGCTCTGGTTCGCCTTGGCCTTGAATTTGACCCTGTCCCTCGGTTCAAAGTCGGGGGCATCCACTCTAGCCGCGTTGCCACGAGCAATTGCGCTGCCCGAGCCGCTGTAACACGAACCTGGGCATCATCATCTATCAACACCGCTGCAGCCGTGTCCTCCTGTTGCAGGAGCTGCCGCGCACGCTGATCAAGGGTGTACTCCCGGCCACCTTCATACAAACGGTCAGTAGCCATGATATACGGCGCATGGCCCCGGGTAAACGTCGCCGCAGCGTTATATGCATTGCGGAACTTGTATGCCATGTGTACCCAGTCTCCTTGCATATTGTCCGTCAAGGGCTTAAGGATTCAATCCTTAGCCACCTTGACCGCGGCCTCCGCAGCACCATTGCCTTGGTGGTGGTCGGAGGTGACCGGATCCACCTTTACCCCATGACTGTGGGCAAACTGCCGCATACTCTCACAATCCAGGACACGATCCTGGTCACCCGCATACACCTTCGGCTGACCCCAGGGGTGGACCACCTCCTGCAGGAATGACTTCACCTTCCGGCTGCTCTTCGACTTGAATGGCTTAAGCAGGATCATACCAGTCAGCTCGTCTACGAGTAGCAACAAGTGCGCATAGCTGTCAGACGTGCGGGGCAAATCCGCAAAGTCCATAAAAACATGCTTTAAGAGACTACGCAATCTCTCAGGCTGCTGCATGAGCCCATACTGCCTCGGCCCATGCGGCTCATACATCTGACATGTATGACAGAATCTGCGCACAGCCTAGGCAAGCGTGCCTAGGTCTGTTCATCCGTATAGCTCCTCGAGCTTACCAAGGAACTTCTCTGCGCCGGTATGCATATACACATTGTGGGCAGCACCCACCACGTTCCGGACCTCCGGCCGAGACAACGTCAAACCACGCAAAGCATAGGGCGACTGCCCCTGCCTCGCCAATAACGCCTTGCCGGCCAACTTTTGAGCTACACGGCGCTTCGCGCGGGCTGCGCGCTGCTGGCGCGCCTCGCGTTCTTCAACCTCAGCAGCCGCCGCCAACTGGTCCGACTCCGCAGGGGTCGGGACCAAAAGGGCTCTCTCAGGGCGGCTCACCAACGCAGGCGCAGTGGGACAGTCGCCCACTGGCACCCGCGTGAAAGCATGCACCTTATCCCATAAACGCACCGACACCGGGTAGCGCTTGTTGTACGAGATCCGACAAAGCAGCGTCGGACCCCATGGTGGGCACCCTTAGCTTCATGCCCATGCCGCAGGAAAACACCATGCTGCAGCGGTATTGCGATTGGCTCGCGCGCATACGAGTCATCGGATCCCACCGCTTCGCTTTCGGCATGTAGGGACATACCAGCGTAATCTCAAGATGCTCAGCCACCACCTTGGCCAGCACCCTCGGGATTAACTCCCACGGTGGGTTGACCCACATATTGCGGCCAACCCACGATTCTGCCGAAGCCCCCCCTTCAAGGGATTGCGAAAAATACTTGGGGACTTGGTTCCCCGGTAGAGCGAACGCATCATGCGTATGCGCTCCCCACGCCTTCTCGGCTGTGTTGAATGCAAACGCCGCAGCCTTGTATTCATTAGTACGGGGTTGGGCCTCCCTAGCGACCGGATACCGCCAGTTAACCTTGCGCCGCGGGTTAGCACCCTGGCCCCCAACCTGCCCCATGATCGGGTCAACCTTCGGGGTAAGCCTGCTCAGCATATCCACTGGGCCATTGTCAACCACCCGCACATGTAGAAGAAGGACATCGATGTTCCGGCAGACTTCCTGCCACCTGCCCTGGTGTCGCCCACGCGGGTCAGTGGCAAACTCGTCACGATGCCACATAGAGAGAAGAGCTTCATGATCCGAGAACAATGTGGCCGGATGGTGAGAACACTTGTAAATCGGTCACAGCTTGCGTATATGTACACCTGCGCCAACCATTCCTGTATTTGAGCTGTACCGGCGCGAACTTCGAAGGAAAATATGACACCGGCCACAAGCGACCATGGGTGCGCAATCTAAACACTGGACTTCGAGAGGCTATCGCCTCCCTGTCACTCACACCACCCTTGTCTGGGCTAGGGGTACGCATCTTAACTACTGCTCCAGGATGCCCCTCATCCTGACACAAGCCTTCATCAGCCACCGAGCTGACAGCTGGTGCCTCCTGTCGCCCCAGCTCCATCAACTGCCCCATAGCAATAGCAGCACCTGCCGACTTTCTCGCCGGCCGCTTCTTAACAGGGCTACGCCCTCTCTGCTTCTTCCGCGGTCCCGTACCCAGTATTGCCTTGACAGCTGGCGGGAACTTTCGTTTCCTTCAACCACTGCCATTCAATTAACGACTGGGGTATCACGATCAACTCCTGATCAGCCCCTGGGCCTGAGTCCCTGATGAGTGACCTGACTGACACTTGTGAGTGTTGACAGGCTGTCCACCAGCTTTTTGGGGTTTTTATGCCTTTATGTGCTCCTTTCAATTTTTTAATTCTATCTTTTCAAATAAATGCCTGAAATCCAAGAAAGCGACACATGTCCAATTACAAAATCCAAATGACACTACCAACCAATCAACATTCCACACACAAGGTATCTCGCATTCTCGCTCTGTCTGAGTTTTCAGTTTTTATTTAACTGTTGTTGTTGACTAAAGTGTTGACTCACTTCCTCACTGTCGCCTCATATTGCTCACCCGGCGCCACACCAATGCGGGCCAGCGCCTCCTTTGTTATCAGGTTATAAGAACAACCTGAGTCAGCATACGCCCATCCCCGCTCCATCGCCAGCAATAACGGGACCACCGCCCCCCTTCAGCTACGCCAGGCTGCAGCTCCTGCAGCACCAGCCGAATTATTAGCCAGCTTCGGGCAGTCCTCCGGCTCGTGCCCACTACGCTCACACACATATCACCATGGTCGCCTGTCGCTATCCCTGCCTCGGCTACTCCCGCGGTCATCGTCACGTCCCCGCGACGAAAACTACCTCACCCGACGCGGTTGTCGATCCGACCACGTCCTCGTGCCGCGGGGTGATGGCGGGCGCTGCTGCCCAACGTGCGGGACCCATGCCCGCCCTTCTTTGATGGTCAGAACATAATCCGTACGCTTGCCTCTTGACCAATTTCGGAAACCACGAGGATATGTATGCCCCACAGGGAGGCCTGTGTCAAAGACATCCCTATCTTTCGGGGGCCCACCAGGCAGCTCCTGCTTGGATACCGGCCGGCCACCCCTTGGGTTCACCCTGGCTGAGCCCGTGTACGTCAGTACAAAACCATTGCATTGCACGTACGTGTTTCTCGACCATATGAGAAACTCTGTGAGCCCTTGCTTATCCACGATACGGGCCACAGTATATGCGGAGGTTGTGGGTCGGAATATTTCTTCCACCAGCCCCGCCACCCTTTTCGACTGGGCTTCAACCTCTTCCAACACCTTCTCTAAGAAATTGGGCATCGTCGCACACTAAGTCAGCAAATAGCCTTCAACCGTGCCCTCTGCCATCGCAAGGATGGCATGGTTTTGTTCCCGGAAGTTGGTGTCCGGGTACAAAATTAATCTACCTCTGCTTGCTATGAAGTCCGAGAGGGGTTGCGACGCCGCCTTCGCAATCTCCGCCCCTCGTAGACCAATAGCAACCGGCACAACCTCGGCAACTGCTTCTTCTGGCGGGCATCCTCCTGAGCCGCAGCCGCTTTCTTCGCCGCTCGCAGCTCCCACTCCTTTTCCTTTCGTTTCTCCTCTTCTTTGGGCCTCTATCCACGCTCACATCGCTAATGTCACTGTCTACCCCGTGTACTCCCACCTGCGGTAACACGTCATCAGATTACTAATTGTGCTTTGGAATTGAGACGTAAGTGTCGACAATCCAAACGGAGGCGAAGTAAACCGAGTATTGGTGACCATCCCAAGTAAACGAGAGCATATGATGTGAGTCCTCGTGTACAGGTAGGAGATGGTATACGGCGGATATTTCTACCGTAGTATAATATTGCTTACCCCTCAAGGTACTAATAAACTCATTGACCTTCGGTAGTGTAAACTGGTCTCCTGGAATAAGAGCATTGATCTGTCGTAAATCCAAACACACCCGGACCTTAATTAGTTCCCCCGACGGTGTGAATTATGGCACCGCCAGTAGAGGCAGGTTGGCGATCGACGCCGAAGTGCGACGCTTGATCACCAACTCGTGTTCTCATTTGTGCACCTGTTGTGTGACGTGTGGTTTGTTGACGGTGTGAATTATGGCACCGCCAGTAGAGGCAAGTTGGCGATCGACGCCGAAGTGCGACGCTTGATCACCAACTCGTGTTCTCATTTGTGCACCTGTTGTGTGACGTGTGGTTTGTATTTGTCAGTTGCAAAGTACCGTATTTGTCGTCGTAGGCCCAAAAGTTTATCGCGAGGTATGGGGAGGGATACGTCACGCACCGAGCCGCATCCAAAATCGGCTCGTTAGCGTCTATGTACTGTTGTAGCATCGAGGGACCAGTTTATCAAAAAGCCAATCCAAATCCCAAATCCCAGGATCATCAAATATTGAGTTTTGGAATTAGAATTGGAATATTTCTGGTATTAGTCTTCAGAAATATTAGCGGTAGAACCGGAAAGCTATACCGGGACTCCGCGTGTGAGAGAAACACTCAAGTAAATCCTGAGTCTAGTGAAATCACAAATAAAGACTCAGGTCGGTTCTCTCAGACTGGTGACTTTTCCTAGCTTTATAGGTATTTTGTATTCTTTTGTCTCGTACCTTTCAGCCACTCTCCACACTCTACATTATTTACAATATACTAACTTAGATAAGTCAACAAGAATCTTAAAGCGCGATACTACAGTCGGTGTAAGAGGTGAAACGAAAAATCTACCTGTCACAAAGAAACCACTTTATTAAAAGAAAGCAAGGGGAACCGGATGAAAAGACAAAACCCTGAAGCTGCAGCAGACAGGAGGAATAATAGGAGGATTCCTCAAGTAGGAACCTTGGCACAACAAACAAGGTAAATAGAACGTGTTCCAGAAGTAAGCTGGACACGTGACAAGGTGTGATAAGCTTTATTGTGAGCAAAGAAGTATCTCAGGGAGTGAAACAAATAGAAGTGTCACATTGATTAACTAATCAATGTAGGGGATTTTTAGGCATGAACTTAAGGGCCCTGCACAACAAACACGAGATACACGAGTAAAATAACAATATAGGCAATGATACCATACATAGCAAGTTATGAGAATATGTACACACAACTAGCAAGAAAGACAACTACACAAGAGGCCGACTGAGCTGACACCGGGTAATCAGCCTATCACGGTGAATGCACTAGGCTCACGACAGAGGAGCAGGAAATGGGTCAGATCTATTAGCTGCCATCTCCATTCACCTGCCATTTTCACTCACGAAGGTAGAAGTAAATCCACAACGATCAACTAAGCAAGTTGAATAGTGCGACTCGACAACAACATTGTACAAACAGTGTAACAGACTTGCATAAGAGAGGTCAGATGTCTTAACCCTTTCACAGGGGAGAGATCAGACCAAGGAAGAACATACAATACAATAGAGCTGCGAATGCTAAACCAGAGAACACACCTTAGACATGCGTAACATCGTAAATGAATTATTAATAATGATTGCCTAACGAGAGTGTATGAACCACACAAACAATAAATAGACACACAGCCATATGTTACCAGGAGATGGACTTCGAAATTAATTCGATTTAAGGGTGAGACATCGATCAAATTCTGGGAATTGGGTTAATTTTCATGTAGTTCAGTATTATTAATTACTTAAGGATGTTCTAAGATAAAAATAGGCACACAACTAAATGAATAGGCAGAGAACTACGAGATATGGGCTTCTGGATCAAGGCGATTCAAAAAAAAGGAGTGTCAATCGAATTACGAGGATCTAAGTTCATTGAAAAGGCAGTACAGTAATCACACGAGGAAAATTAATAGGTCACACTTGCACAACAAATACACACACGAACATAAGCCACCAGGAGTTGGACTTCTGAATCCATTCGATCCAAGACAGAAGCATCAATCAAACCTGAGGACTCAAATCCCAGTGATTAATACGCTCACAATCTAACGCGATCGAGAAATGAAAGGAGGTCAAGTGACATCAATTAGGACTGTATCAAGATACACAGTGAACTTAGAAATAGGAGCTAACAAGTACAATATAGTCACAAGTACAATATAGTCACAAACTGATAGCCCAAGAACATTCATGACGCATCTTACGTCAAATCGATGAATGGGGACATCATATGGCTAATACACACAAACATATCAGGCGAAATAGAAAGCCCAGGCGAGAACAAACAGTTCGAGTCAATAATCCATGAACAGTTAGTTAAAAAAGGAGGAGCATACACAAGGCCACACAGCCAACTCAACAGTTACACACGAGAGTAGGAACTATACTCACAAGATTACCTGTGGTGAATTACGAAAACAGTGGAACAAAGCACAGAGTTCAAAATACCCACGACACATCCGATTGTAAGGGAAAACAATCAAGATACACAATACACATTTTAAAGCACTTTAGATCTAACCTCGAAAGATGCAATTAGGTATAGTTACCACACAATGATGGAATAAATGCGTACATCAGACAGTCAACTAGGCGTTATTTAAGACGTAAACACTCGACGTGAATAGAACACATTCACTGATCACAGGAACACAATCCCAACAAGGCCTGAGAACCGAACATCAAAAGCCGGATCAAGCCCGGTTGTGCATCACAACATAGTACGGTACAGGACAGAATATCAAGGTAAATATAAACAGTAAGGTACAAATCACAGTTCAATACAGGACCACACATCAAGAAGTGAGATTCGCTTAGACACAGTTCGGTACAGGACCGAATATCAAGAGATGACGTCAACAGGACCAAATTTTTCACAGTGACGTCTCTAGGACCGAACATCTCAATAAGCTCGCATTTTATCATATGACGGAATAGGCACAAGTACGTCCACACGTGACGAAATAAACTTGACTAACAAATACTGTCCCCCCCCCCTCCTAAAAACAGGGAACAAAACAAGCTATCGTACCATACAGAACGGTAAACACTTCCCACGGAAGTGCAGCGCAGCAACAACACGACAATAGTAAGTAAATAAATTCAAATTTTAATTATTTTATACGAAATATTACTAAAGGCAAGGGGGGCGAAGCGTGCGCATTCCCACAGAATATAGCAAGAACCTTTATTAGTAACCCGCAATACCCAAACACCAACGCAGACATCTCAAGATGCTAACGGCAACCAGAGCAGGCGTGTATGGTGGCGAGGTAGGATGTGAAGGCGCGGATGACGCGAGAGTCAGCCAATTAGGGGGGCCAAGCCCAGGCAATGGTTCTGGCCAGCCTACACCGACTGGGGTACCCATAGAAATAGATAAGAGTATCTGACAAGGCAACTACATCCTGGTCTGTAGGTTTGTGTCCAAGTTGGAACAAACAGTACCAGTGCCTATACTGACTTTACACAAGATGAGGGTAGGCATTCATGACCAACAGCCAGAGCGACGTATGCCACTCGTGGATGCGGAGCTCAGACGACGATATGATCTAGCTATCAACGATTGTGGTGGCGATGAGGAAGATTATCTCATTCAAATAACTCAATCCATTAGTGAGTTAAAGCTCATGCGTTCACGCGTAGGCGACCAGATAAATGAACCACCTATTGCAAAACTACTAAAGACTTCAGAAATTCTTAAGCTACCTAAAGATAGTTACTTTAGAATGAAAAAATGTGAAGACATCATAGAGTCCACTACGCAATATAGAAATCTATTCCTAGCAAAGTCCATGCCGCTATGTCAGTACCCAGCACTAGTGAGAAACCTACTAGATTCCACTGATGCAACGGAGAAGACCAAATCAGTACTCAATATCTTAAGAGATTCACTTCACGGAACCTGAGTAATACAGTAGAATAATTAAATATGATCATTATTGACAGACTCAGTCCCCACCCAGTAGACTATCTGTTGGAGAAGTTTCTCAATGTCATGCAGAACAAGAAGCTGAACGTCGAAGTGCGCACAGAGCGTGCGCATAAGACAATGGTGATACTAGAGGAGCGTTACCGCAACTCAGACAAAGAACCCATACACTTTCAACTCCTCATAGTACAAAGGTACCAAGCACTTCTGTACTACGGACAACAAGGTCAGGTGGATGCTCTATTCAGAGCAGACAAGCAACCTGATGGGAGTGAAGGGCACTTGTCAGATATAGAACACGCTACGTTTCATACTATGAGTGAGGCAAACATAAGAGCGGCATCCAAAATGCGAGGTAACAGTTGCGAGTGCAGAACAAGCGTCAAAACGCACAGACAACCATCCAAGATGAGAATAACACTACCACTACTCACAAACGGCATAAACCGGACAACGGTGCACCCGCCCAAAACAAGCCAGTGGGTCAGGTACAAGAGAAGAAGGGGGCACGTGAAGAGCGTGCATGTCCCTACTGTCTGGTGATGCCAGCCCCACATCGGTTCAGTAAATGTCCAAGAAAAAGGTGAATCAAGCCAAGCAGGCTGAGGAGCGGGCCAAGAAGGATGTGCAAATAGCAAGACTGTCCATTACCTCTGGCAAGGTAGAAGACATCACAGAAGGTGATGAGCACTGAAACAACTGGTGGGGGGGAGCAAACATGATTGACCTGGCTGACAGGCTCAATGTATATACAGATAAAGAAACGTTGTTAATAAATGCAAATGATTTGAATTATCAATTTTTATCCTTACTTCCCACACCACGAGACCAACGTTTACACATTGACATAAAAATCAATGGCAATACATACAATGAATTAGTAGACTCGGGCGCACAACGCTCATGCATGGACAAGAGTGTAGTAACAGAACTATATCTCTCTGTCAGAGCGTAACCGGGTTATATACAACTAGCACAAACAGATGCAAGAATACAACGCACAGAATCAACTGAAGTTTGTGACATTAATTATGGAGGTAGGAAAACCTCTCAGTGTTTTGAAGTATTGGACCTACCAGACAAGAATGCACCAATACTCAGTTGTATGGAAATGGTCGTTGTTTTTGTAGAATTGCGCTCGCGCTTTGTCAAACTGCATGGATAATTTCAAGAATATATTGGATCCGTCAACTCTTTTATTCCACTCTTGAGCCAACATTCGATTCCTCTCCGCCCAGGACACATCGTACGATTCTGTTTCGCGACTCAGCTGCTCATAAAGCAGCCATTCCTGAGCTGTGCGCATGTCACGACACAGACAAGGCAATCCTTGTTCTCTAGCTGTAAGCTGATGATTTTAAATGTTAGGGCGAATTGTATTACTCAACTTTTTTTCTAGATTCATAAAAAGGTCCAGTTAAACAGATGTTGTAGGTGAGCAACACCGAATGATTCATCGGTAGGAACATAATCATCCGGACGTGAGTATAGTTCACCGATACAGTGTGGATCATATGGCCCTTCATATGCACGAACGCGAAATCTCTCACCGGTAAGTTCCGTAAACAGCATCGCGCATTTATCAACTACATGTGTGTCGAAGTGTCCAAGATCAGATGATCCGTTTTATTCGATATATTGTTTGTAATTACGCCGATGGCACATGTATGCCATAAAATCAGTTGCTAGCGCACTACTTGCGCGAAACAGTTTGATAGACTACGGATTCAACGCTATTAGTACCGAGAAAGCGCATCCAGAGTCGAAGTCGATCGCCGTCTGTCGGATTACTACTGTTTACGGTTACTCTGGGCGGATCAGATACATATCCATCAGCAATTAGCCCGAGTATTTTTTTACTCTCCCTAGTACTTTTTCACTCTCCCTGAGTGCATTATCATTAAATAACTTTACCTCACTCCGTGAATCTACTTTGTATTTCATGGCGTCAAAAACACATTTCACGCGATCACGCATATAAGTTGTGCATAGTAATAAAATATGTAAAGTTTAAATTAGTTGTCTGCATGTCAATATGTACTTATGAGTATGTACTTATGATTATATTGATACATGTAAGCGTGTATGCATCCATGAAAAATATGAACACACACACACCCCATACACTCACACACACAAACATTAATATGTTTTTATATGTATTTATTTAGGTGTACACACCATATATACAAACACCATACATACACACACACACACACATACCGTGCATACATACACACACACACACACACCTTATACAAACACGCACATACATATTTTAATATTTGATATGTATTTATTTAGGTGTACTCACCATATATACAAACTCCATACATACTCGCACACACACACATACCATACATACAGACAAACACACACACACACACAATGTACGCACACACACTTAATTTTTTAATTTTTTAATATATTTATTTAGA